TTACTTTCCTGGTACCTTTCATCGGATCCCGCACAGCGCCATACTGCCGGGGGGGACAAAGTTTGGAAATTCTATTCTTGCACCTGAGACAAGGTGAGTTGTCCCTCGAGCCTTCGCCTGCCTGAACCCGAAGGTAACAAGACCTAGTTGCCCCCTCCCTTTGGAAAGTCACGGTGTCGTTAACTTTGGATTTGTCTTGGAATCTGTCGGTGTTTTGGTCCAGATGAATGAGCCGCATCCCGATTTCTTTTCACGCCGAGCGGGGGGTGATTGAGGGTGGGGGGTCAATGGTGTTTTCTCAGAGATGATTAAATTGCTGCCTGGCAGATTTACTCGCTGCTCCTTGTAGAATGTGGAACCTACACCGTTACTGGGAATAATTCCTGTGATTAGGAAGCCGCGATTCTCTATCACAGAGAGGGAAGGAGTGTGGCTGGAAATTGCATGATTGGGGAGATGAACTGCTTTCAAATCATTTAATTCCTGACAAAACCTAATTACTGGCAGGTAATGCAGTGTCAGCTTTAATGCATTTCATCATTCAGTCTGGAAAGAAGAGCATTTTGTCACCCGTCCAATTATCAGCACATTTCGGGAAGGGGGGGTCATTATTTAGCTGAATGGTACGCTCGGCGCTTGCAGGACTGCTGGTATCCAGGGGGTTAACGATGTCAAGAAGTGACCTTTGCTCCCTGGACACAGGGGGTTAATGTGCTCGAGAATAAGGATGTGTCCCACAGGCCTTGGCCTCTAGACAAAGCGTGCAAGGGGTTAACAAGCCTAAGAGTACCGTCGTGCTTGGGGTTAAATCCCATCATTGCCGTCTTCCTGACTGCTGTACTGAAGGGGTTAACCAGCTCTAGACTGATTACTCACTGTCCAGCACCAAGGGGTTAACTGACCTGAGGATCTAGACAGCTCGTTTGCCAACCAGAGAGCAGAGCAATCGTCTCCCAGCAGGGAAGGGGTTAAGAAGCCGGGCGCAGTGGCCTGGGAGGCGGCACACGAGGGGTTAGCGCTTTCCATCAAGACTCTTATTGCCAGAGTCCAAACAGTGCTAATTAGCAGGAATGATGTCACTGTAGGAATAATCCCATCATTTAATTAGCTGAATGATTTAAACAAAGATTTGCATAGATGCTCTAATCAGCGGCGGTGAATTACGGCACAGCGGTTAGCAGCGAGGGGTAACAGATCACACAGATTCGGGTGGGTGAGGGGGGGGTCTCATCTCCTTCAACATAATTAATTTAATTGTCCTCATTAGCTGTTCCATTTGTTGTGATTTTATTTCCCCCCTCTCAGTCCTCCCGCCTTTCTCTTCCATCCCGCTGCAGATATCGGAGAGGGGGGGAGAGGTCATAACGAGGGGGATTTGGGGTGATGATTGATGGGGTGTTGGGGGTGGCGGTCAGTGTTCAGCGCCATTCTGTGTATATGGGGGAGGAGAGCGTACGGAGATGGTGATGGGGGCTGTGTGCGCACTGCGGGGGCCAATTTTGTTTCCACGAATTGCACTGTTAGTGTCCGTAGGTGCCCAGCGCGGCGTATTAGAAAGGAATCGGCGATACGCAGACCGATGAGCGCACGCCGCGCTGTATGGTGAGCACTAGGGCCCGATGACGTGTGCAACTCTTACCACAACAATCACGATTTATCAAAAATGTATAATTGTTTTGGCGAGTGCAACCGGTATACATTGCCCCAGAACGAGTGCAAAAGTTCCTGCGTGCTTCAATTTTGGCGCCTTAACACGCATTAAGTAGCCCAATCAAAATAAATAGTTACATGCAAAAAAAAAACACACATCATACGTGTAATTATCAATGAGACGCCAGTTTTCAGGTTTCCTCCAGCGGTTTACACATCACATGAAACATGGAACATACACTTAACACACGTGTCACACACACACGGTTCAGCAGGGGAAAGTAGAGCGATCATCATGAATCCTGACAAAATTTTTCTCATTAATAAGGAGAGAATATTTTTCACCTCAAAATTCTTGTGGTAGCAGCGTAGTGCATAAACCAGTGCTGGTTTGATGGAGATATCAGTTTTGATATAAAGGAGATGTCAGTGTCGGTGTATTTGAGATTTTAGTGCTGGTGTAATGAAGATATTAATGTTGGCATAATGGCGATATCAGTGTTGGTGTGATGGGGATATTGGTACTGGTGTGATGGATGTTCCAGTGCTGGTGTGATGGAGATATCTGTGTTTGGCATGATGGATATACCAGTGTTAATGTGATGGAGATATTAGTGCTGGTGTGATGGATTTACCAATCATTGGTGTGATGGAGATATCAGTGCTGGTGTTATGGATATTCCAGTGTTGGTGTGATGGAGATATCTGTGATCAGTGCTGGTGTTATGGATATTCCAGTGTTGGTGTGATGGAGATATCTGTGCTGGTGTTATGGATATTCCAGTGTTGGTGTGATGGAGATATCAGTGCTGGTGTTATGGATATTCCAGTGTTGGTGTGATGGAGATATCAGTGCTGGTGTTATGGATATTCCAGTGTTGGTGTGATGGAGATATCAGTGCTGGTGTTATGGATATTCCAGTGTTGGTGTGATGGAGATATCAGTGCTGGTGTTATGGATATTCCAGTGTTGGTATGATGGAGATATCAGTGCTGGTGTTATGGATATTCCAGTGTTGGTATGATGGAGATATCAGTGTTTGGCGTGATGGAGATATTAGTGCTGGTGTAATGGTACAGATATATAATCATGAGGCATCCCTGCATTACTTTGATATGTCTTTTGGTGTATACTCTGCATGTGAATAAAACACTTCCACTGGGAGTTGTAGATGAGTCGGTGATATTTGCATTCCTATATGTGCAGATGGCACCACCCACTCTATTATATCTGCTCTCAGTGCTATACAATCTGGTTTTGGGATTCAAATGTTGGCTGCTTGATTTCATGGGATTTCAGCACCTCCATTGTGGAGCAGTGTTAGCTTCTGGCACCTTGCTGTAGGATTCTACACCCAGTAGTGATACCATATAGTGATGGGGTTGTAGTGAGGGGATTAGGTGATAGGATACAGTGATGGGGTGCAATGATTGGGGGTGAAAAAATACCATATAGTGATGGGGGTGTAGTGAACGGATTAGGTGATAAGATTCAGTGATGGGGTGTAGAGGGGAGATAAAGCGGTACGTTATACGATGGGGTGCAGTGATCGGGGTTGAAGTGAAGGCTGTATGGACAGGTACAGCAACAGGTGAAATGCTGAGCTATAGAGATAAGGTATAACAATGGGTTTTAGTAATGGGATTCATTTGTGGGGTGCAGTGATATGATTGGGATGAAGTGATAACATGTAGTGATGGGGATGAAGTGAAGACTGCAGTAATGGGTAGAGTGATAGATAAAGTAAGGGGGTGTAGTGATGAAACAAGTGACAGGATGTAGTGGCAGGTGAAGTAAAGGGTTTCAGTGATGGGGTACAGTTACAGCTGTAGTACTGAGGTCTAATGCAGGAACTGCTGCAGAGAGGGGGTGACAGTCATCAAAGCATTAATGAGATGTAGGTATGGATGCAGGAAGTATGTACAAGGGTGCAGTGATATGGTGTAAATATGAGGTGCAGTGATAGGGTGCAAGGACAGGGTGCAGTGATGGTCTGTAGGAATGGGGAGCAATAACAGGGTGTAGAGATAGAGTGCAGTGAGGAGGTATAGGATGCGGTGAGGTGGAGTAGTGATGGGGTGCAGAGATGGGGTGCAGTGGTGGCTTGTAGGGAAGGGATGCGGTGAGAAGGTATAGGAATAGTGTGCTTTGAGGTGGTGAAGGAATGGGGTGCAATAATAGGGTATAGGGATGGGGTGCAGTGATAGGGTATAGGGATGGGGTGAAGGGTTGGAGTGTAGGGATGGGGTGCTGTGAAAAGGTATAGGAAAAGCATGATATGAGTTGGTGTAGTGATGGCTTGCACTGATGGCGTGTAGGGATTGGGTACAGTGAAGAGGTAGAGGAATAGGAAGCTGTGAGGTGGTGTAGGGACGGGGTGCAGTGAGAAGGTTTAGGAATAGGGTACAGTGATAGGGTGCATTAACAGACTACAGTGATGGGATGTAGGGTTTGTGTGCAGTATGGGGGTGTAGAAATGAGGTGCATTGATGTGATGGTGTGAAAGGATGGGGTGCAGTAATAAGATGCAGTGACAGAGCTTAGAAATGGGGTGCAGTGATGGGGTGTAGGGATTGGCTGCAGTAATACGATGCAGTGACGGGCTGTAGATTAGGGGTGCATTGAGAGGGTGCAGCGACAGAATGCAGTGACGGGGTGCCGGACTGGCACACGGTAGAGAGCTGAGGTCCGTACATCGCTTTCTCCTGCTTGCTGTGCTTTAGGAAAGGAGCCAGAGAGCTGAATGTGTTTGCTCAGGGGCAGCTGTATATAGAGGTAGGTGGGGAGGGGGGAGCAGAGGGAGGAGATGGGGAGGAAGTACCTACCTGCTCTCAGCTCTCTGACAAGTGCAGAATTTTGGAGCTGAGCTCAGTAATATCTGGGTGACCTTTTCTCTGCTGTGTGATGTCTGGCTGCTGCTGCTGCTGATGAGAGTGTGTGTGTCTGCTCTGCTCCTCTGGCTGTGATAGGTAAGTTGTGGGGAGTGAGAGGCACCTGTGGCTGCACTCTGTGTTACGCTGCACCTCACGAATGCTGTTTTTCAGGAGGTTTTTTTTGTTTTTATTTATTATTTTTTTGGGTGAACCCGTCTGCTGTGAGTGAGGAGTCTCAGAGGTCTGAAATGCGTGAGCACTTTTTGCATCCTTCTGTTATGTTGGTGTTAGAGTGCTAATAACGAGACAATTTTGGTGTGACCCCTTCCATGTCCAGTACGGGGCTTGCAGCCCGGAGAGGGTCATGATACGAATACTGTGCCCAGCTGCCCAGCTGTCGGGGAGCGGCGGCGTTGGTGGTGGGGGCAGCTTCTGTGGGCAGGGTCGCCGTGTCCCCAAGTCTTTTCTCTTCCTGCCCCCCCACCTCACCCCAGACAAGTTGGCATTTGCTCTGCCTGTGTCCTCCAGTCAGGCTGTGCCTGGGAGCTGTCCCCTCCCCCAGTGCTGAACGAGCTGCATGTGACAGACTCATCATTTGTTAGAGGAGCCCAGCGGAGAGCAGGATTAGAGGATTTACTCCGGAGTTAGAGAGCATGTGGCTTTGTCAGTGGCTGCCTCATCTGCACACTGTGTCGGCCTGTGTGTGACATTGTGTCAGGGGAACAATAGCCTCGTCCAGCTGCTCCCGGAGCCAAGAGGGGACCCCCAGCTGCTGCCCAATGAGGGTCTGCTCTCACCGACCCATGCACAAAAGGGAGAAAAGTTTTGGTAGGTAGAAGCGGAGTGTGTGTGTGTCGTGCACGGCTGCAGATGGAGCGTCACCTCATGTGTCACCCCTGCTGGAATGAGGTGCTCTCGGCTGCCGTTCCGTCCCTGGGTGACATTGCCGTGCAGGCGCCGCCGGAGGAAGGCTAAACCGTGGCGGGTGGCTCTTTGTGCTCCCGTGAATTGTGTGTCTGTCTGTGTGTGTGTGTTATTTGTGTATTTGAGCTGCGTCAAAATTGAAGTCAGTCTTGCAAATCTCTTGTTGGCCTTTGCCAAGCACCAGCACTTTGCTGCTATGGTAACTGTAATTAAACTGATAAGAGTGGAAAAATGTCAGTATCTGTGAGCCTTGCAGCTGCATTGGAGAAAGGGGAATCAAATTGGTTCCCAGCTTCATTGCTCAAAAAAAAAAAAAAGGGGGGGGGGGGGGGGGGGG